ACTTGCAACCCCAAAAGAAATGAAAGGGTAATGCATAAATAGCGGTTCGCGGTTCCTAAATATGTTTGACAAGATTTGGCTTCTTGTGTCATCCAAATTTACAACCAGCATTATTAATAGTTGACGCATCATGTTTGGAAAGTTCTATCTATGTGTAGAGTAATACTCCTATTCCTACCACACTCTAAATTATTTAATGTTGTCTGTATGTGGCTTGAAGATCACGAAATCACGATACAACATTATTTGGGGAGAAGAGGGGGAATAGTTTAACTTAACGAGGGCAAAAGAGATAGAATTAAAGAAATAAGAGGTGTAACTACTTCCGTTGAAGCTAAATGTAACCGCTTCCGAGGAAAGCTGCGAAATATTTCCCGGTTAGATTGACACCTCCGTGATTAGTTCCTTTTAGACGGAAAATTATAGTTAGCGTTTTAGTTCAGGATAAGACCCTGTGTGATCAAGATCGTTTTTGAATAGAAGACAAGTTAGATCGTAATCCTCTATAAAGTAATCAAGACCCGCGAACGTTAGTAAGCAATAACTTCTTTTGTGATTATGTTACCTAACTTGTAGTCGTTACTCAAAGCGAAACTCATCGCTCGTTGTAAACTTTATTTTGGTTCTTTTAATTACCACGTGCTCGTTTCCAAAATGGAGATTATTCTTAAGCTATGATCACAGTACTTAGGTAATTTCTTCATGTAACGATTTCAGTTGTCCACTTCGATATAAGAACGCCCCAAGGAGTAGGAAAAGGAATAGGAAAAGGAATAAAGAAAGAAAAGATCCTATATTGGTTTAGTGTTTATCGCATGCGCGTGTATCAAACGGAAATCGAGTTTCTAATTCTAGCTTGAAAAGAAAAATTTAGAAGAGGTTGAAAAATTTAATGTTTCAGCAACTTTGTAAGCGATTCTAAGCACTCGTATGTATTTGTACTTTGCTGGGAGAAATCGTGTTTTGATTTAGAAAGGATCCATTACAGGTGTTCAAGGCCTAAATATAATAACTCTCCTAAATGTAATAAAGTCCTAAATGTAATAACATTTGGTCCTAAATGTAATAAGCCTCCCATGCAATCGATCCTAGACCATTGTTATTACATTTAGGACTTTCAGAGTACAATATCTTACCTTCCGTCATCTTGAACTTCCCCTATCTTAAAAAAATTGTATTTGCTTTCCTCTAACTATTTGCTTCTATGCATAAATAAACGAATTTAATCACTAGGCCATTTATTTCACCCACAGGTCCATTATCCCTTGTAAACATTATTGAAGAAAAACAAAGTGGTCTCAGTAGTATCTTCAGCATTAAATGCAGCTTCTGTGGTCACCTAAATGAAGTAAAATCCTCTGTGGTCCTCTTGTTAGCGATATCAACACAAGGGTAGTATTGGGATCCCTACATGCTGGCATGGAGAATACCCACCTAAATAATTTACTCTCTACAATGAATGTACCAACAATGAATCATACTGCAAACCAAACCAAAGAAGCATTTATAACCATTTGTTCAAGGAACAAATTGACGATTATGATGCTTTAGAGGATGTCAGGGCGCTGAGAAAAATTCTTTTTGAATCGTCATTAAGCCTCTCCAGGAAAAACATAATCGAGAATTCCAGTGTCATCAGTGCTCCCCACGCAGTGGCAAACATGCTCTACCTAGATCAACGCCACGAACCTCTTCTAACATTCAGTGATAACTTGTTCAACGTAACCGACACCGGACCAATTAAAAGATCAATGGCACAAAACATCGCTGCCAGTGATCTCTCTTACGATGAACTTCACAAACTGAACACAAGGTTTGGTAAAAGAGGACTAGTCGCCATATTGTCTAATCCACTAACAACTTCGTCGGCGAAGACACCACGAGTCACACGGACGAAGAGGATATTGACCGCCATAGTTAAACACTTCGAAAAAACCAGCAACGAAGAATAAGGAGCGATGCCCGAAAAAATCTCAGGCATAACATTTTACCTATTAGGAGACTCACAATCTCTTAACAAACATTCCGATCGAAGCGCCAACCAACACGTGTTTTCCATGGAATTTAGTCCATTTCATACTTACGCCTGTTGTTTTTCAATAAAAATATGGCTAATATAGTCAGAGGTTGGAAGTAAATCTTTCAAGGTGAGCAATGAGGGCTGTCTTTAACGGCTGCTGAATGACTTTCTGAGCAGTAAACGTTTCCGAACGTTTGTGATCGGATGCGGTAGGAGCTCGCGCGAGCACACGCAATTGTCAGCGGTAGCCGTAACAGATCATGAGCATTTGTCAATCTTATAGAATCCGGATTTTTAGATGCGCGAGAACGTGCGTGGGAATTGCTAAACTCACGAAAGCTTTTGCATGAAAAATAGTCTGGTGACCCCTTCTTTTTAATGTTCCAATATAATAATAACTTTGAAAGGAATCGTCAGAAAAAAACTAGTAAATTCTACGGAAGGACATTTGCGATGCGTGAAAATTCCCTTTTTCTAAATTTTCTGAAATTCCGCTTCGTAGAATTTTTTTAAAATCTTTACGCATTTTCCTTTTCAAGTGCCAAAAGCAATCACTAAGAAAAATCATGGGGTCGCCCAGTTAGTTTTCAAATTATTTGAGCCACAAGCTTTTCTGGAAACTGCTAGTGACGAAATGACACCTATTTTTGGATAACCAATGATTATATCATTCAATCTTGTAAAAGTGTTCAACTGGCCTTGGTCAATCTTTTTGTTATATTTTTTCAAGGTTACAAACCAACAAAAAAATGAAAACTGGCAATAGCCACCTTAAACAACATTCTCTAAATTCTCTCTGATCTCCTAATATGCCAAAGCTGTTACTTAGCAATGCACCCGTCATTTGGCATAGGGACCAATATTTCTTAATCCGCCTTATAATACCTAAGTGAGAATATTTCAGGAATTTTAAAATTAGTTCTAAATGATTTTTTTATGTACTACCCTGCAGTGGCCCACAACTGTCACAGCAAAACAAAAAGTCACGGCACTACAAACTTTACTCACGGCAAACAGCAAAATAGAATTAACTTACGGCAAAACAAAATTAACTCACGGCAAAACAAAGAAAACGAGTTGGTCAGTGGTTGGTCAGCGGTTGTTATTTGCATCTGAAATGGTACGTGGTGTAACAGTAACCAAACGAAATGGCGACCTTTGTTGCTAAGAATAGTGGAGGGGTAAAAAAGAAGCCAATGATAATCTTAAAAGAGTTTATATTTATTCCTTTTAGTTTGAACAAGCGACGCTTTTAGTTCCAAATAACGATAGATGTGAGAAGACGCTGCTACAAATTAATTGGAAAAAAAACAATGAAGCAGAATAATGTAGGTTACACCTCAGAGGAAACTTTACTTTAAACAGTGTTATTTCCTTAAGTCTGTTTAACATCAGTAAAACTCAAGATAAATGATTTTGAAAATAATCAGGAATGTTTTGGCCTTTAACCTCGTTCTCTCTGACTGTTTGCAGGCGTACAGTACTTTCCACCTGTTGAAAAATCCTTATTTCATTCAGGCCTATAGATTATACGCAGACTACATGCACAACCTTATTCCAGAAACACGCTAATCAGCTAATTTGTAGCAGTGTCTTCTCACGCCTATCGTTATTTGGAACTAAAAGAAATGCAAATACGAACACTTTAAATTAAGAAACGTACCTCTACCACAGTTTTTACAAAAGTTTGCATCTTCATCTACTAGTGAACCACACGCGCGGTGCAAAACATTGCGAGCTCGAAAAATAGCAGTTTTTCGAGCTAGCCGTGTGTTACTGTTACACGACGTACCATTTCAGATGCAAATAACAACCGCTGACCAACCGCTGACCAACTCGTTTTCTTTGTTTTGCCATGACTTTTTGTTTTGCCGCACGGCTGTTTCAAAACGCCCGCCAGTGGAAATTTAGTTCGCGCATGTCAGATTGACATTTTCAATTTGAAACCGCTGAAAACGTACGTTTAACGGCTCGACAAGAAAGAGCCCACTGATAACTAGGTCGCAAAAAGTATATGCGCAAAGCCCAAGGAAATAGCTAACTTATGCGCAGACATTGTATTTTGCTTCCCTGGTTAATGTTCTCCTTGGGAAGATTGCGTGTGCGGGATAGTTTACTATGCGACGGCTTAATGGCATCTTGTTTTGACGCGAGATGACTTATCGCCTTTCTGAGGTCTTCTTATTTTCAGGCAAGATTCTGATTGATTCGAATTTTTCTTTCAATAAAGGAACAACTCAGGCTTTACGTCTCTCCTTTGCCATCAGTTTCTTTACCATGAAGTTTTAATCCGAATTGTTTTGAGCGGTGTAATCTGCGATTACACATCACCACCGAAATACTAAATATGGCGTCCATCTCCCCTTTGACCTCGAACTAATGCCCCTAAACTACGCGAATTTATCCTCTGAATGATCTCATGCTTACCCATGGGCTAAACAAAGAATACACGATGTATGACAAACTGATAAAATGTCCACGGCCTTCTGTTACGTGCAAGAAAGTCGAACTACGTGCGTGTGATTTCCTCCCCGAAAAGTGTATGTCATCGATCTGTCACGGGGAGCTACGTGAAATAGTGAAAGCACGGACAAGACGTTTCTTTCGGTCAACATTTCAATCATGATCACGGATAATAAACCTTACAATTATATGTTACCATTTGTGCTTTGATCTGATAGTTAAATCGTTTTTCTTGGCCATGATTAACATGGTTTTTGGCGAATATTCCCTCCCCCTTCAAATGGAATGAACTACACGCAATAACACAAGAATGCAAATATTCCCGCACCCCTAAAGAGCCCATCGAGAGAGATAAATAGACACCCCTTCCTGAAACAAGGTACAAACCCTAAGGGTGTACCCTTCTGAAGCAATAAAAGGCCGGAAAAAGGAACTTCGGAACATATCTTGAGTCAACTTAGAACTGCGTTGCTTTATCCAAGTTTAGTTTACAACTCGGTTCGATTAGTGCATTCAGATGGCTAACTTTGGTCTCTCTGAACATCAACAAATATTGGAAAAAATTTGCCGAATTTGTGGAGAGCGATTGAAGAAGGCAAAAGATAAGTATGAGAACAGTTTTCTTTGCGCTGATAAGACGGAGATTATTTTCACAGCCTTTGGTGTCAAAGTTCGTAAAGATGACCTTGACATGTGCCCTCCTAAGTTCTGCCACAAGTGTTACAAGCTTGCTTTAAGAGGAGGCACACGCCTTGCAATCAATGTGTGGCCTCCACACAAACGCACTGGAAACTGTAAGATCTGCAGTTTCTTTAAGGATCAACAGAAACCTGGTAGGAAGAAGAAGACTAAACCTGGAATAAAACCCAGAGAGGACTCAGCTGAACCCAAGCAACAAGTGGAAATGGTGGAAGGAATGTCTGGCACTTTAAGCTTCCAACCTGACCCAGCCTCACTCTCATTCTCTGAGGAGGTAAAGAATCTACAAAGCTTTAGAGGATCAGAACCTCTTTACCCAGAACAGTTTGTTGAAAACATCAAGCATGAGTATATGTGCCCAATTTGCAAAGAGGTACTTGATCAACCAGTCCAGACAAAATGTCAAACTCCACACATATTTTGTGCTAGTTGCTTATCATTTTCTTTCGAAATGTGTGGATCCCTTTGCCCAATGTGCCGAACTGTCATTGTAAATCCTAATGAGTTCATTGAGCCAGCCCCTTTTGTTCTTCGCACCATACTTTCAGAGTTAGATTTTCGATGTCCTACCTGTAAACACACAGTAAAACTTCACCAACTACCTCAGCATCAAGAATGTTGCATTCAAAGCCCTACAACCACTATGAACTCAAAACCCATGAACATCTTGTGAAATAATTCATTGTAAATTCACAGATTTTTCACAGGATTTTCATGGTTAAATCAATGACATTTTCATGGTCTCAGTGCCATGAAAAAGACCTGAAAAATCCCATGAAAAACCTGTGAAAATTTCCATATTCACGACCCATGAAATATTGAGTAAAGTGACCTAGAAGCCATGAAATACCCATGAAAATGGCATTTCGTGGCCTTTTCAAAGGTACTGAGAAACCCATGAATTTCAAGCCCAAAATTTCATGGTGTCAAAGTTCACTAGTTTTTAATGGGTTGCAGCAAATCATGACCCATGAATATCCTGTGAATATGTTAAAAATTCATTGACCATGAAAATTTTCCTTGAATTTTCATGGCCTCTACATGGTTTTTTCATGGCACATGAAAGTTAATTGCCAGTTAGTTTTCATGGGGTTGTTAGGAATATGCAAGCACCATGAAAATTCTTTGGAAACCCTATGAATTTGGAATTAAAAATTATTCACTTTTCTTGTACCAAAGACTGTACTACAGCGTATAGCTTGCAGTATACCATAACTGTAATACATACACTATCACTTAAATTATACACTGAAGAACTAACCTATCTGTGAAACTTCTTGGTCCTGTTGTACAAGCACACACACATGAAAGACATGACCAGAAGTCTGGATTCTCTGATAGTTTATTTTGTTTCACCAGCTGTACATAAATATTACTTTAGGATTCCAAAATTGTGATAATTCAGTTTACACTTTCTTAAATAAAAAAAGGTGGTATGAAATTTTCTGCATAAAATTAAGATGTTAATGATTTTTAGCTCTATTTTGATCTCACTGATTTTCCTTGTGGAGACAGATTCTGCTCCTATATTTCTGTTTATTTAAACTATTTTGAAGGTATATTATAAATAAATTTGATGTGAAAAATATTTGGACGAAATTATTGAAAATATACTCACTGGTTTGATGTATTTTTGTCTAAACTTCAAATATCATTTCCTTCGTCTAATATCATGTGTAAAATGTTATGGACAGTTATTATAATGTCTATTTATGTAACAGCATTCATGTAAATTTCTTGATATGTTTTACACTTGTGATCAATACTCTCAAGGTAACTAACAACAAAACAATTACCAACTTTCTGCACTCTTGCATGTGTGAAGATATATCTATGGCTGACTATGTCAGTGTCTCTCTATTTTTGCCACCTGAATGTGCAATCCTTCTTTCGGTTATCATTACTATTTGCATCTTCATCATCATTTGAACCAAGATAGGCTGCTTTAGCAAGTTTGCTTTTCCTTTCATCAGTTTTGTAGACCAACACTCTTCACTGTTTGCAAAATAAAGGGAGCACATCATCAGTTATCTAAGAGCCTTTCTTATGTACGTAGTAAACCTAGAAATGGATAACTCGCTAAAACAGGTTCTTTTCAACATGAAGCCGTCCGATACTAAGCGACGCACTGTGGAAGTGAGGTGAGGTATTTCGTATTCAGAATTTGACTGTATTTTTTATTCCTAAGAACGGTCGTAAGTATTTCCATACAAACTCTTGTGATGTTTCGCCAGATGATCACAGAATAAAAATTTTCAAGTTAAATCAATAGTTAGCGCGCGCGCTCCGATGTTTACGCGTAATAAGATGACCAAGCTTGAACTTACCCCTTCACGTTGTAATGCATATCGATAACTTCATCTTGAGGAAACCTCTTTGAAAAAACTTTTCAGACGGTCCATTGCGTTGATCTGGAAAAAAAGAGACTGCTACACAAACACTACGAGAAATGCAATTGGAATGGAACCATTCCGTTCGAGGTACGAAAAAAACCGCCACTTCTTCGTAAATCACGTGTACTTTCACGTGGTGACCTTAGGTCATCGCAGCCATCATAGGTCAGCGGTCACATAGTGACCTCACAGGTTATCGTGTTCGACGTTACGAAATGACTCCGAAGAGGTCTCGTTGCTGCGTCTGTAATCTTACAAAATAAAGCAGCACAAAAAGCTGTTCGGTATTTGGAATTCGAAGCAAGTAACAATCGACAAGACATCAGAGTCCAAGAAAGTCAGAGCTGACATCGACAGTGATTCCTGTGAAAGCGATCACGAAATCAACAACGATGTTGTAGAAGGCAATCTCAATGAATACATGAAGGTAACCTTTCATCCCGACTGAGAAGATGGCCTGACTCTGTTAACCGGCGACTCTATGAACGAGGTAAAAATAGCATTTTTTTCAGGTTACATTTGCACACTATTCAAAGTTCCAAATTGAGGTGACAAAGTGATTGATTTTTCATTGTTTTGTTCCACATTTCGTGTAGATGCAATGCGTACTATTGCTGTGCAATTTAAGCATCTGTACTCTGCAGCTGCCTTACGGGAAAAGCCCTAGAAGATTCCTCAGTCGTAAGAATGTAAGAGAAGGCCTTGAACAGGTTTCCAGAGTCATGGCTAACAATCAAAGCCAGTAGTGAGGCAGAAAAAAAATCAACAAAGTCGTCCAGGCATGGCGAAGGCAAAAATGCCCCAAAAAATCAAAGTGAGGATCAAACATCTGGGTCATTGCCTCCAGCCCCATTTGTCTCAACAAAGGAGCAAATTGAAGATCCATTGTTTTTAGTCATTGTTTTGTGATTTCCTGTACATTTTACGTTAACAAAGGCCACTTAAGATGTTTAGGGACATTTTCATTCGACAGTTTTCGCGCTGTACACCAAAATTCCATCAGTGGATAGATTTATAACAAGTCAGTTCCACGGATCATGAAAGTCAGCTCGTTGATAAATCAGTGACTGTGATGAACTCATTAATACCACTTTTAATGGCCTATGGATTTATCAATGAAATTCATGGGCAACAGATTTCAGGGAATATTCATGGCCCATTAATTTTGTTCTCCCAAAACAAATAAATTGTTAGCCCATGAAATGCTGTTTGATTGCAATTCATGGGCATGAAATTCATTCTGATGACTTTCTGGGGAAACTAATGGGTCATGAAAGTAGACTTTGAAGAAATTCATGGGTCGTGAAAGTAGGCATATAAAGAAATTAATGGGTCATGAAATTAATTCTGGTGACTTTCATGGCAAATCATTGGGTCATAAATATAGACTTTGAAGAAATTCATGGGTCATGAAAAAAATTCCCCTAATTCATGGAAAATTCAGGGCTAAAAATAACCCCATGAAATTTCATTTTGCAGTATTCATGGGCCATGAAATGATCTTCATGGGTTTTTCACATGAAATTCATGGAATTTTCATAAAACTACAGTTCATAGTGAACAGCACCCACACACATCTTGACCCCTTCACAAAGATCAGTTCCAGTGACACCATCCCTCCTTGTGCCAGTGAAACCCATACCTGCAGCAGAGGAAAAGGGACCAGCACCGGTAAATGTACCATCAGTACAAGCAGAACCTACAACCACCACTGATACAAATACAACCTGCAGACAACAACTGACAGTTGATCAACTACTAACCAGCCCAAAGGAAGCTTATACATCCCTAAAGGAGGAAGTTGGATTGTTCATCATTAGACAGTTCCTTTCACAGTCTCAGGATGGGGCAACCATTCTCCTCAAAACAGGTGGCCAGGTAATAAAATATTTTTTTAAGTTAAAAATTAAGACATTCATTTTCAAAACAAAAGATAACAATTCATTTTCAGCCCTTAGAATTAGTGAAAAGGACCAGGGCAAGGAAAACAACTGATGAGGTAACAAGGAAAACTGCTAGAAATAGATCAAAGGTAGTAGCAGAGACCAGGACAGCTGTCAGTGGTGGTGCAGCTGGTACCCAATTGAAAGATGAACTGCGTGCAATGGGCAGACTGGAGAGGGAGGCACTGCTGAAGGAGGCCTTGGGAAAGGAATTTAAAATCACCATTCCAAGAGGTGACATCCTGGCAATGAAAGCAGACCTTGGTGAGACATGGTACAAAGTTAGAAAGCTTAGGAGGTAAGAGAAACATGAACAAAAAAAATCATTAAAAACCCCAAAGATTTTCCAAAGACATTAGATGTCAGTAACAGTAACTGTTTTGAGTTTGTATTCAAATTTGCCAACTGCCTGAATACCCTCAATCTGCTTACAAAATTATGATAACTATTATGTCTCTACAGATGGTTTGATCAATGGGGACTATCCTCAGAAAGTGAAAGAAGTCAACGAAAGCAAGTTCAGTCCATCACTGACCCGGCCAACTTGGTTTGTGAAATGGTCCCATTTGAATTAAAAAAACCAGGTTGCCATCCAGAGGTCAGGGAAGCAGAGTTTGGTTATGTTACAGACCTGAACCAATTCATACATCTTCATCTGAATGAAAATGAAAAGTATGATATAAAGAAATAGTTAAAAAAAGTAAATGCAATCACTAGATTAATGATTGAAATTAAACAAAGTTAGCTGTTGCCTATTGCTGTGAATTATAGTCTAATTATAGTTGGTTATCATTTTAGGAATGGAAGGCTGACATGGAACAATGCAATCCCAGAAAATGAAGTCCACATAAAACTTGGAGGAGATGCTGGTGGTGGGTCATTTAAAATGGCCTTCCAGATTGCTAACCTGAGGCATCCAAATTCTAAAACCAACACAGTGGTCTTTGCCATGTTCCATGCAAAAGATAGTTGGGCTAATTTAAAGACAGCCTTAATGAAATATAAAGAACAAGTAAACACCTTGAAAGAAGCAACCTGGGCGTAAGTGAAAACAAATTTACCACACTTTTAGTTAGTCAGGAGAATAGAGACTTGAAATAGCATAATATTAATTAAATTTTTATTTTTGTTTTGCCCATTTCTAGAGGTAAAAAGAAAGTGGTTTTCCTGTTTGGTGACTATGAGTTCCTATGCAAGCTATTTGGAATAGCTGGTGCCTCAGGTACGATCCAGACAATAATTCACATATACAAATAATTATGATTTAGCAATTCAATAAAAGAATATAAATGTAGCCTCTACTCTACATAACTATTTCTGTGAAACAGGTTTCCACCATAAGAATTGTATTTGCAGGCAAATATCCATGTCTTTGGTGCAAGATAAATAATGAAGTAATGCAAGTCTCTTGCCATAAACGTGGGCATGCTGAAAAACGAAGTCTTGAAAACATTCAAGAGGATTATGATAAGTTTGTAGCAGATGGCTCTGTTACAAGTCGACAGAAGTTTTATCACAATGTGATTCACGAGAAACTGCTGGACATTGAATTGGACAAAGTAAGATACAAGAGTTTATTTTATTGCTTTGAAGAGGGACTTACAGGCCACCTAACTAAATGGTTGTCTATTTCAGGTTTGTGTTCCTGGACTTCACATTAGCTTGGGTGTGTTTAAGAAACTGTTTGACGAACTAGAGAACCAGTGCTTTGAGCTGGACAAAAAAATTCAAATGGTGCTAGCAGGAGACAGTGAAGAGAATGATGAGAAAATCCAGGCATTCAGAGCTGCCCAACTACATACCAGACAAGCACAACAATTTAATGAAAAAGCCAATTATTTACAGGAGTTGCTGAATTTACAAAGTCTGCATGCTAATGTTGATATCATGCCTGCCTACTTTACACTACTACAGGAGGAGATAGACAAACTCCTTGGAAATGCAAAGGAGGAGGTAAAAATAATATATTGGTGCTTTCCAGTATCATAGCTGTACAATCCTCCAAATCCATTTTACATGTTTCAAACCCATCTGAATTTTTTAGTTAAAGAAGTTATGATTTTATTTTATAGATCATTTATTTGTAATATTAAAATGGCTCAAATTATCAAATTATAGCAACTAAGCAGTAAGTCAAATAACCCAGATTTAAATAGTATTATCTCAATATTATAGGAAAAGCTTGCAGATGAACAAATGGAATTGGCTGCCTTTGAGAAAGCCAATGGACCACTATCGGTTCATTTGGATGAGGTTCTCAAGAAAATGAATGTTGAGAGACAAGCTTATCATGGAAAATCATTCATTGGTAACCATGTACACACTTGCTGCAAGGTAACACAAATTCTACCCTTAGAGTAGGAATTTGTTGAGTCACAAAATTTCATTGAATTGTTGCATTTGTTTTTTTGGTAGGAAGACAACATCATCAAACTATGCAGTGCTGTGCTGACAAAAACAGAGGAGCTGTGTCCTTCCCTCCTTTCTCAAGCAAGAGAAATTAGCGTGAAATTTGAACAAGTTTTTAGGTTATTTGCTGCTTGCCACTTTGTCTATGACAGTGCAGACTATCTCAATGATGGCAAGATTGATAAGCTAGGTAACTGAAAGAAAAAACCTGACTTTCATGGAAAAACATGAATACAGTAATAAGATCATGTCTTAAGTCCACCTTGTTTTCTTGTTGCAGAGGAAGACATCACAAATTTTCTTCAGTTCCTTAGAGAAAAATTTCCAGACATGACAATCACACCAAAGCTGCATATGCTAGAAGAACATGTTTGCCCTTTTCTTCGACAATGGCACATGGGCCTTGGATTCTACGGTGAACAAGGGATTGAAGGAATACACTCTGAATTCAATACCCAGTCCCAGCATTTTGACCATGTGAAGAAAAAGGACACGAGATTGCGTCAAATCCTTGTCAACCATCACATTGCCACGAGTCCGGAACTAGCAGGGAAAGCTCCCAAACCTAAAGAAAGAAATTTAAAACGAAAAGCAAACGAGTAAAACTCTTTCCTTTTCAATAGCAATGTATCGGTTCGATGACTAACAACGAGTACTATGTGTGTAAATATAGTGTAATTTATTTGCTCAACTTCTAATTTAGACGAATAAAAGTGTTACTACAATCTTTGGAACCAAAACTAAACCTTTCCAGTCGTTTACAGACTGTTTCACTTGAAATTCAGTACCTCCGAGATTCAAAATGGAGTCGCATAACGGCCGATCTTAACATATTAAAAGCGCCTCGAATGGAGTCTTAAACAATTCGGATTAAAACACTTACCTCTGTCGGTTGTTCAGTAAGGTTTCAAGTCTTCTCTTTTGACTCTTGCTTTGCTGGAAAAAATTCGAGCCTTTTCCAAATTGAAATCAAAGTTTTCAGTTGATTTAATAGGGTGTGCTTGTTAGACTCCACCATAGCAACGTGTTTTCGTCGAACACAGGCAAAATTTGACCGATTTTACTCAAATTTTCGACGGCAAATGCCTCTTCCATGTGTAAGCATCCGCCATGCTAAATTTCGACCGCATACATTAAATACGCAGCAAGATTTCATTGGCTAAACTATATGTTAGCCCAAGGGGTTGCCATGGACGCTAGATTTATGCAAATGCATAATTTTGTATTAACCAGAGAAATAATAATTAACTCGATCTTTCCTGTAGACCGCATGCGCGAACTAAATTTCCACCGCGAAACAGCCGTGTTGGTGGGGAGTGACTTCAATGAGTTGAAAATTATTGTTTTCCTACTTGTTCATTGATTCTGATAATGCGAATTTTTTTAAAGTTCCAGGAGCTAGTTGCACAAAAGAGATGCTTACTTTTTCGCGCTTGAATGAATTTTAATGACATTAATTTTACGGGGGGAAAACGAGGAATGATGAGCACGGAATGCAGAAAATGAGGAGAGTAGATTGGATTTTCCACCAAGACTGTGGTTATTGGCCACAAAAATGGTCTTTAGAATGTAGTTTAGTCTTTACCTTAAAACAATCCTAGTAAGATAAGTCTGTGGTTATTGGCCACAAAAATGGTCTTTAGAATGTAGTTTAGTCTTTACCTTAAAACAATCCTAGTAAGATAAGTCTCAGGAGAAAAGAAAGTTTCACAACTTCACATCGCAGCAAGATGGGTTTCATGAGCCATTTAAAGTTATTCCGCTTTCCCCTTCCCCGACCAACAAATCAGGAATTTGCCGCTACATACTTCAATTAACCAGGGCATGTGATCGGAAACCGCATCGAAATAATGCGTTCGAAGAACTAGGGAAAGACTAGACCTTGTCTTATAGGTTCATGCGAACCTCACCGGAGATGATGGAGATGGAACTTCCAATTGTCCCACGACGATCGATCAGACGCCGTTATGTCTTCATTGTCGTTATTCTAGTTGTTCTTTTCTCAGTTGCGGCGTTTCTTATAGGTTATTTCGCAATGAAGGCTGAAAAAGATACTGCAATATGCCGAACCGCTAATGGAGCACCCGGCAAGGAAAAATACCACGAGATGTTTCAAGGGGAGATACAGGCGAAAAACATCGAAGAAAACCTCAGGTTAGTGCGCTTGGAAATCTGTTTCCGAGAGGGTCATTTTCTCTACTCAGAGAAAAACGCTTAGTTTAATAAACCCCTAAAGATTCGATAATGATTTCCTCTTGTTGCATGATGTCTATCAGTGATCTGAGTATCGTATTGCAGAGGAAGACAGGTCAGTTAATTTAGTGATCAGAGTTTCCCAAAAAGCGTTTCAGACACCAGACACAATTCATGTACAGGTCGAACCGGCTCAAAGAAACTCTTTCTATCATTATTAGATTTCCTAATTTCGTTGGTCGAAATGAATAACATAACAAATAATGTGATAGAGATCTCTATCGGGAGAATACGGCAGTTTTCAACGAAGGGAAAAGTTGTGCTTGTAGTTGTATGAGCTTGACAAATTCCCTAAAGCTATAGCGAATCGAACCGGACTACGATGCGAAAATGCATGTCTGTTTGATATGCTAATTATCGGGAGTGGAAGCTGAATAATGAATAGTGAATAACGGCTTTAAGTAAATAATGAATAATTGGGTTTGTAAACCTCGGGAATAATGAATAACGCAGTCATGCCAATGGAATAATAATGACCGCTTTCTTATTCGATTGTCCTGGTTATGTATTTTCTGTATGAACCTCCCAAACGAGTGTTTGCCAGCACAAGGTCGAGGCGTTCAGCAACACGCTTACGGCTGTTTTGATTTATAACCAGACATGTTGAAGATACCATTTGCTAGTTCAAAATAGGTAGAGCGGATAAACAGGCTAGGTCACGCACTTCTTATCAGTAATTAATCAAATCTAAAGCTTTGTAATTTTCACGTTCGTACTAATAGATAACAACGCGACTAACATTGGTCTGGTGTTTGTCAAGCTTATCTTCGATAACAGTCCACTCTGATCTCCTCCTGTTTTCTACACTTGTGTCTTTTTTTTTTTTCGGCTTTTACCTTTTTTCTGACGTTCTTTTGACGTTTTGAGCTGTTATTGAAATGTTTCGGTGGATTTTGTAACCTCCTCGGGATTGTTACATTACTTCGAATTGCATGACTTGGCCCATTTTATCTCTCGAGATAGGCATCATAGTTATTTTTTTGTCGTCTTTTGACAGATTTTCCGATCTACATGCTTGAAGGTTTGGGGTCAACCTCAAGTTTGGAAAAACAGCCACTGATATTACATTTGGAGCTACATAGTTCCATCAAGAATATCAGAAAGAGATAATTTATATGATATCTTGTAATGAATAGTTTTCCTTTAACTATAAACGAGTGAACACAAACTCAAGCATTATGCTTGTTAATTGAGAGGGGTCTTTTATTTTTTACCTACAAAGTCCCACCTCATCATGCAAAAGCTCCATACAGATACTTCTTATCTTTCGCCTATTTTGTAATTTTTCCAAACATCATTCAGGTTTTGTTTGTATAGATTTGTCATTAATAACTGGGGCAAGAAAGGCATGTGCGACGATAGAGTTGCTTGCAGAAGAGACTATTATTAAATTACGTTGTGATAATAATAACCATAGCACCGAAAAATACAATATCACCTTAGTTTGACAAATAGTATGATGCGACAGTGTGATACCTATAATCAAATGTATACGGCGGACCATAAGAGTCACGGCAAAAACAAAACTTACAACAGGACAAAGAGAACTCACGACAAGACTGTAATTCAACCACAATTCACGGCAAAACTCAACGAACTCACGGCAAGACAACGCCAATTTTTCACTGCGGAAGTGAGAAGCCACGCGGAAGTGAAATGCCACAGCGGATGTAACCTAATAACTATTCCATTACAGGCCATAATATGTTTTTGTGAACTATGGCAGAATCTGTGTGAGTTGACTTGGCCACCAAGACACTTGTGAGCCACCGCAAATGTATAATCATGAAATAAAACCTGAAATCAAGGAAAAATCTTGCTTACGTTCAAGGAATAGGGAAGAATGAATACCAAAAAAAATTTGAAAAAGAATAATGAATTAATTCCAAAAAAGGAACAAAGAATAATAAACAATCGAGGTCCCATTATTCAGCTTCCACTCCCGATAATCATAATATGACAAATTTGGCCATTTAGCCAAACTTAACAGCTGTATCAAATAAGTGCACTGGAACAGATATCAGCTGAGCCTTAACACAGCCTTTCATGCAAAGACCACTGAAAGGAAATTAAAATAAAAAGAATTGTTACTATTTCCTTTCTTTCCAACGAACAAAGAAATTATTTTGAAAGACAAAAATAGTATAGAAACCAAGGCTACGAGTCATATACCTTGATAGAATATCGTTAAATATTTTTAACTGGGATTTACATTTTTGTATTCAGAGCAAGTATTTTTCTACTGAAGTAAATATTTTTGCACTGGTATAATTATTGTTGTAACGCACGTGCAGGGCACCGTGGTTTTTTTAAAATTTTTTTAAATTTATTTTTTTTATTCTTCCTTTTTTCCTAGAGGGTTAAATTTTGATCACTAAATGAATGTACGAAGAAATATGGATTCTTATTGAAAAAAGGGTGATTTATTAAAAGAGGGTAGACGAGAAGTATTTTGAATTCGCATATATATATTTGCATACATATACAAGTTGAGAAGATCAGTGATCGATACACTCGGCTGTGGCGTTTTGTTTTGTTGTTTTTTAATTTGTTGTTGTTGTTGTCGTCGTCGTTTTTTTCACATTTTAAAGTCATCTGTAATCTGTTGCCGAAGAGATACACGGCAATAAGGACTCATTCGTTATTTTATCTTTAATAATTTATCTTTACATCATTTTTGCAATGCAGGTTTATTACTTCCGAGCCTCACATGGCTGGATCGCAGCGTCAGCGTGACCTTGCTGAACATATCGCAGAAAATTGGAGGACGTATGGGTTTGACGCAGTAGAAATGCCGGAGTACAAAGTGCCACTCTCTCTCCCTCAGGAGAACAATCCAAACAAAGTAGAAGTTGTTGTGAACGGGACTATCGCTCATACAATTACAGGGAAAATTAAGGTAGGAGGTCTACTGGAGATTAACAATTACCATGGGCTTTTCTTGGATAGTACATACATGCAAAAAAACAAAGCAAAACAAACAAGTAACTCGTTACACCTTAAAATTAGCGTGTGTGTTCTCCGTACTGCTCTTTGCACATTGCCTTTTATGAACGACGGCTTGGGCAACGCGAGGCGGCGAGAAGTCTACAAGGGGTTTAACACTGCGTGATCCCCTGCAAACCTTTTCCCAGGTTGCGGGAATGTCTAGCAGTTTTAATAAGTAGAACCGCCTCCAACGCTACTCACAACGAGTATCGCCATTTTTTTTTCCATTGTTTTTGCAGGCAAAACCTGAGCCTACTGCAACGAAAGCATTTGACCATTTTCCGTATTTTGCTTACTCACCAAACGGAACTGTTGAGGGTGAACTTGTATACATTAATAAAGGATCTAAGGCTGACATCGCTCTTCTCAACCATAACAATGTGTCTTTAACAAACAAAATTGTCATCGCAAGAGGAATTCAAGCACAGGTAAGTGATAAATATTTTTTTCGACCTCGTGGTTAAAATGGCTAAAACAAAAGCCTTTTTGTCAGGTAACGTACTAAAGACCACGTCCAATCAAAAATTAATTCTCAGAAATAAAACTTGTTTCAGGTGATTTTTAAGGGACAAACACTAAAAGTTGCAATTTATTTGATAGTTTATGGGAATAATCTCATGTTATATCATGCAATGCCCATTTCTTTACGTTAATATTCTAAAATATATTTCCACATTCATAAAAGATTCACCTGGCGGCCAGACTTGGTGCTGTTGGAGCACTAATATTTCCAGACGTGCACTCATCCAGACCAAATAATACCTACCCTTACACATCAAAGATCTCTGGTGACGCTGTATTTGAAAAAACAGTGGCCACAAATTGGGGTGACTCGCGCACTCCCGAGATTCCATCTATTGACGGGTTGTACCGAGGTGCCAGAAATATGACTGCTTTCGGAATAATACCTTCACAGCCCATCTCCTACAACGATGCTCTGGTATTGCTGAAACAGCTTCGAGGTTAGAGAAACGGTATTTAAATAAAGAAACTAACTGTGCATCGTCTCTAGGAAGGTGACTGGTAAATGTATATTTTGTCTAAATAGAACTTTCACTAGGATACCCACCTTTTTTTCAAATTCAAATTTAGTTCTTGAGGTAACACAAATAATGAAGAAAAGAGAAAAAGACAATATTTTTTGTGTATTGTTAATCCCTTTTGGAGTTATTAAAATCTTGATCACCGGTCACAAGCATTTATGTTAGCGAAAACTTTTCTTCCACTTTGTTTTTGAAGCTCGTACGTGACCTCCTTAATGCAGTGATTTTCAAAACGGTCTTGTCTAGTTTTGTTTGTTTTTGTTATTGTTGTTGTTTTTATGCGAAAGAATGT